CCCCCCGATTTTATTGGGAGTTCTAGACATTGTAACAATTGATAGTTCACCTAGATCAAGCATGATTATGCAATTGCATCTATTAATTCCTTAATTGCCTTCCATTTTATTTCTGATTCTCAAACCAATATTGGCATATGTTACCCTGGCTTGTGTTGTTGTGGTTGTGACTATGTAGTCAAGCGAAATGTTAGAGAAACCTAGAAATGTGTAGATGTTTGATTCATAGTTTTCATGGGTGTTTATCTCTGTAGTATCTCTTCTAGCTAAATTTGAGACCACGTGACTTTTTTTAGAATGGATCATCGTATTAAAGAAGTTGAAGTATTAATATTAATTTTTTTAAATTAGCTGGGCCCTTAGGATCTCTTGTCTTTTAAATGTGTTATGCTTTTAATATTTTTGAGCAGATATCAGTTTGTTGAGTTGATTTTAAATTATTAAATTATATGAAGTAAATAAATGATCATGCAAACAGCTGAAAACAACATTACAAATTCTAAACTAATTTCATCTCATTGCTTTCATGGACCTCGAATACTGAATTGCTAAGTGTTTATCTTCTTTACTTTTTAGGTTATTTTAGTGTCCGCCAATAAACTGACTCGTTATATAGAACCGTGCCAGTTAACAGAAGATTTTGGTGGGAGTCTCACCTATGATCACATGGACTGGTTAAATAAGAGGCTGGTTGGTATATAATAATGATTTGATTTCTCAATGTATTTTTATCAGGTCACGCTTCTGAAATCTGCTGCTCTGTATAAGACATTGTTTTATGGGAACGTAGAGTATTGAAAGAACAAGCTGCAAACTAATTCAATATGGGTTATATACTAATAATTTTGGAAAATAAAGGAATTTTCAGTTATCTAAGAATGAGTAGTAGTCTTTGCACAGTATTTGAACAAATGTGTGTCCACATTATTGCATTAATTTAAATCAGCCAATATCCCTATTTAAGAAATCTATTATAAGAATTTATATTAGAACTGAAACATTTATGCTACATGCTTGTATTTAAGTAATGGTGGTGGTGCAGTGGTTGAAGCACTTTGCTGTTCACCTAAAGTGTAGATTCCCACACCCACTTGGCTCATTGTCCTCTTTCAGAAAAGAAATTACTCCGTTCCCTTTGACAACTAGAAACTTTTATACTATAGCCCACAATCCAGGATAAAGTATAGCTGTTTGATTTTTGCAGCCTCCCTGAATGATTCCAGCCTCCCCGCAGGGGGCGCGGCATTTCCCATAGGCAGTAAACCCTATGATCCCCAGTAGACAGCTGTGGCAGTTGGCGTTAATGATTTGGAGCTTTGGAAACCCCAGGGTGCAGTTCCGTTCTGCCCTGTAGGGTCACTAGGAGTCAATTCATTCAATGGCAATGAGGATGGATATGCTTGTATTACAATTCTTTGACATGTAATCAGAATGAACTAAAGAAATGTCAAAATCAGAATATTCTGTAACTGGAAGTAGAGGCGCAGAACTGGTCCAAGTAATTTTTATATAGTTACACCTTTTATTGGTGGAAATGTTACTCATAGAGACTCAAGAATAAAAATGAACTTGTCTTAATGTAAACTTAGAGTATTTTTCAATGTACTTAAATTGACTTGTTTCAGGAAACAGTTTTGTGTTCTCTGGGTATACTAGTGCTCTGGTAGTTGAATTGCATTAAGTGCCTTCAGGGACGGAAAGATAATCTTGGCTGGTTAACACTATTGCTCTTAACATATTAACACCTAAGATTATTTATAGTGCGTTAATAAAGTCTCTGATTGTAGGTTTTTGAGAAATTTACAAAGGAATCCACATCGTTGCTAGATGAGCTTGCTTTGATTAACAATGGAAGTGACAAAGGAAACCAGCAAGAGAAAGAGAGGTAGGTGGCAAATGTCATGCAGTCATAATCTGACAAAGCTGCGATGACTCCAGATCAGCACTGTCCACCCCACAGAAAGGTATCCCCACGTTTAGAAGTAAGGGAAACAGACTCCATTCCATCAAAATTGACATACGAAAGTTTCATTCAGTGTTTCACTTTGAGCATTCCCATCCCATGTAGAACACAGTCATTGATCTATATCAGAGTTTCTTTTTACAAAAGGCCTTTTTGAATGAATAATAATGTGCCGGAGCCCGCCGGCAGAGCAACGGAGACTCAAATGAGGGGGTGAGGACTGAGAAAAGACAGACACAAAAAAGCTGGGGTCAGGAGGACTGCAATTCAAGACTGCAGCCCCAAGTTTATTTTCCAGCAAGCTTTTATACACTGTTAAGCGGGAATGTACTATTGTTCAAAATAGCGCCCCTGTCCTTGTTCTTGTTTGTCTGGCAAATATTTTCCCAAGGCTAAGCACCTGATGTTTTCAATAACATTAAAGCACAAAAGTCAATCTGACCGTGAGAGAGACAATCTGACCGTGAGAGAGCTGTGTGTGCACGTCCACATTTGATCGAACAGACCTCTGCTTCCAGAGCAGCTCCCAACAATAATGTATTTATAGTTCTTTAACACTGAGCTGAGCATGTTTCAAAGAATATGTGTTCAGAGACGTTTTCAAAGTGAAACAGCATTCTACCTCTTAAGAGCTCTGCTTTGCTTTAAAGAATAAGAAAAAGGTTGCGACATGAAATAAATTATAGTCTTATTTGAATACATGAGCACTTAAATGTCTATTTTGTAGAACTTTCTCTGTAATTGCAAAAATGTGATATTCATGAGCTCACCTTGGCGTAATTCAATGTTTTATGACAGTGGACCAAGTAATTGTTCAGTTGTATTTTCTAAATATAACTATCTACATTTATCATTTTTAACAGGTTTCTATTAATTTGACAAGCTAGTTAATTTTTCATCTTTGTGTTGGTAGGCTAAATTCCTCCCCTCTCTCCACCCCACCCCCTTTCTTTTTAAAAAGGAGACAAATTAACTCTTCCTGATCGCTTAATGATAAGATGACTGGTCCTTGGAAAAGTAAATTTTCATTAGGAAAATTGAAGGAAAAAAGTAAATCTAGTTTAAGTCACAAAAACCACAGACCAAACCTAACTCCCTGCCAGGGAGTCAATTCCAACTCTGTGTGCTTCTAGGACAAAGTAGCACTGCCCGGTGGGTTTCTGAAACTGTAACTCTTTACGGGAGTAGAACACTTCCTCCTCCCTGGAGGAGTTGGTGGTGTCGAACCTCTGACCTTGCTGTTAGCAGGCCAATCCCTTTTCTACTGTGTTACCAGGGTTCCGATGGGGTGGGGTAATAAAACAGTAATAACAGTTATCCAAACTTGCTGCTTTCTGAGTAGTCCAGCAGACAGAATATTTTCAGCTAGCAATGGTTGCTTTTGATAAAAGTACAACTTTGATAGAGGATGGTTGGATGCAGTTTTAATGTTACAGTCTTGGGTTACTATACAGTCACAGATTTTGAAACCTACAAAGGGGTACCCCCCAAAAAACCCTGCAATTGTTTTTCAAAGCGATGTATTTAAATGTTTTTACAAAACAACCATATCATTTTCAAAGTACTCTCCATTATACTTAACACATTTGTCAAATCTGTGATTCCATTCTGGGAAACATTTTTCAAACATCTGTTTGGATGGCGGACAGCACCTCCCTCATTTTTTCCTTTACCTCTTTGACATCTTCAAATCGCTGTCATTTCATGTCCCTCTGCAGTCGCAGAAGCAAAAAAAAAAGTCACACAAAGCAAGGTCAGGTGAGTAAGGCGTGTGGGGCAAGAGAGGCATGCTGCTTTTTGCCAAAAACTGGTGCACTGACATGGCTGCAAGAGCAGGTGCACTTGTGGCAAAACCAGTCCACTCATCTGCCACAAATCAGGCCTTTATTGTCTCACACTGTTACCCGAATCTTTTCAGAACCTCTAAGTAGAAAGCTTGATGAATAATCTGACCTGGGGGAATGAACTCCAAATACATTACAAGTTGACATTTTTGTCCGATCAGGGTAGTTGACGGATATCCAGAGTGAGGTTTGTCATCAATCTACAGTTCACTTTTTTTGAAAGGAGAAAACCACTTGTACACTTGAGATTTCCCCACAGTGGTGTCCTTCCCCACAGTGGTGTCCTTCCCCACAGTGGTGTCCAATAGTTCCTGTGGCGTTTTCCCCCCAGAATTTCACAGCCGCACACTGTTCCCCTAAATCAGCCATCACACAAAAAAACGAGGTTCAAGCGAAACTGCTTTCATGAAAAAATTCACTGTGACCAGAGAGAACCTTCTCAGGCAATGCCACTGGGTGCACTAACTCAGAGTGAGTTGCTCCATGCTTATCTAGTGGGCAAAATGTCTACTACTAAGAAAGTTCCACTCCACCCAGCACAATTCCAGGGTTTTGGGGGGTAACTCCTCTTTATGGGTCTACGTGAGTTGGAGTTGAGGTGATGGCACTGGGTTGTTTGTTTTAACTTGTCTCTAATGGGCTTCCTTATGCTTAGGAGAAATTAGGATCCCTGGTTGGTGCAATGATTAAGTTCTCTGACTACCAATCAACAGGTAGGTGGTTCCAGCCCATGAGTCACTCCGGAAGAGAAATGTGTCTCAGTCTGCTCCCGTAAAGAGTTACAGCCTGGGAAACCCTGTGGCATTTCTGCTTGGTCCTGTATGGTTGCTATGAGTTGGGATCCTTTTGACAGCAGGGAGTTTGGCATGTTTTTTTATGTTTGTTTTGTGTAATATATATATATAAAATAGTTTGCCAAGTTACAGGCTAGAAATACAGCTTTTCAATTTTCTTCTTTTGATGTTTGCCAGGTCTGTGGATTTAAACTTTCTTCCATCAGTTGATCCTGAAACTGTTCTTCAGACAGGTAAGATGATAAGATGCAAAACACGCATTCACTAGTGATAATCTTAACATCATAAAACAGTCATAGAGTGATTGGGTCATTTAATAAACATCAGATGAACAAGTAGATAGGCTAGAATTTTGAGGGACCGTTTTTCAAACGCCTTGTGGTTTAATATAACTGTACTAATTAATGAATTTTTATGTATTGAAATAAAAATGATATATTTCTCCCTTGAAATATTTGAATATTTGAATTTATTTCTGTATTGTTGAAATGGAGATAGATTACTTTTTATTGTCTTGCTATGGATTTGCTTTTTGGTTTATGAGGATGGTGTAAGATAATGGTGGCTAATGTTTCAAAAATACTAGTTATGTGACAAGTATTTTACTAGACATATTTTATGTATTTTTTTTAAAAAGTTAATTCTAATATAAGGTGACCAGATTTTAACATTGGTAAAACGGGACAAAAGCGGGACACCATTGATAAAACTCATATCCTGGTGAAATAGCCACATGCCAGCCGAAACCCGTATACCCTAGCTTGTTGTGCATTCTTTCCAAAAAATCAGGACTTTTTTAAATTACACGGGACAAATTGTTAAAAATCAGTACTGCCCCGCCAAAAGCGGGACGTCTGGTCACCTTATCCTAATAATCCTTTAAAGAGCCTTGGTGGTATAGTGAGTTATATGTTGCGTTGGTAGCAATTCAAACCCAGCAGCCATTCCGTGGGGCAGCAATGAGACTGTCTGCTCCCATAAAGATTTACTTTCTTGGAAAGCCTTTTGCAGCCGTCCCACTCCTGTGCTGCCACTCTGAATGGGAATTGACTCACTGGCAGTGGATTTGGGGTGGAGGGTGGGGCGTGGAGGTGCAAGAACCCTTTGAGATCGCTAGTGTTATTTTTTCCTATTTTGTATTTCAGGGGGTCAAGATTTAGATACATAAAATTACTTGATAAAGTTAAGTTATATCAGCATAGTTCAAAGTAAGTTGAAATCTAAGACGACTAGATAAACCCACTGTACAGCAATCTAAGTAAAAGCATGTAGCATATGGCCTCCTGCATGGAGTAAGTGTTCAGTGTGCTTAGTAGGTGTAGTCAAGCCCACATAGCTTCTCGTAATGGTTTCACGAATACACTCAAATGCTTTTAAATGGAAATACCTCTACTTTTTAACATCCCCTCCTCCACCTGCCCCATAGTTTATTTTACTATTCTCAGCGTTTTACCTGTATAAGTTCATTTACCCATTCACCACCACCCTGTGACTTTGGTGCTATTATGATCTCAACTTTAAGTTGGGAATACTTTTGAGATGTAAAAAATAAGCCAATTTAGGCCTTATTTTACAGTTGAGTAGGAACTGGAACATCAGCAGCGTGGTTACAGAGTGAGTCCTTGTATGCTGTGTCTCCACTCTAATGGAAATGTTAGCCATGGAGAAAATGGTATGGGTAACCTTTGTGAAGTAGGAAAACAACCAACAAAATGTATTCTGATTGTAAAACTTTCCCCAAATCTGTAAAACGGTGTTCTGTTGTAAAATATAATGAAAGAGTAAAGAAATCCATTTTGCATTTTCCTGTATTAAATCAGTTGTCTGAAGTTTTTCCAGTATGTCAGAGATCTTACTTCCTCAGTAAACCAGTAATCGTGTCCCTGCATACTTACAAGGTATAATAGATCTATTAGTAAAGATTTTTTTTCTAGAGATAAATCCCATAAATACATATAGGGGCTTTTAAAAGCTTGTGCAAATTTTCTATTGTGTTTTAATTCCATTTTCCATTAATTCTAAAACCTACCTAAAATTTTGAAATTTTCTTATTTCAAGCCATTGAATTGAGAAGATTTTTCTAAATTGTATGTTAAAATTAACTTCATAGATAACTCTCTTCTTTTTATATTCATGCTGCTGACTCAAAGCAGGGCTCAACGGGAATACAAAGTGGAGAGGTGCAGACAGTCTGTAAAATGGAGAGGCGTAGAACAGTCTGTAAAATGGAGAGGGTTAGGACAGTCTGTAAAATGAAGAGGTTTAGGACAGTCTGAGATCTTTGTTCAAAATTGGAAATACCTCTAGGCTATAACAAAATTTCTAGTTTTATATATGGGAACCATTGGAATGTATAGAATTTTTGTAAATAAAGATGAAGCAAAGAAAATCATTCTTGTAAGCACCTAAATGGTTATCAGAATAGTGTTATTCCTGTAAAACAGTTTTTAACTTGGTCATTTCAAAAATTGTTGATTCACCTATAATTTTGATGTTGGCCATTTTACAATTTTAATTTTTCATATCTGAGTAAGTAGGTTTTCTCCACAAGTTTGCTATAGATGAATCACATTGAGTGTAGTTCTTATACTAGCATGGCCATTCAAGATCCCATTCATATTTTGTGGAGCTTTCTATAAATAGAGATTGTCCACATATTATTTTGTACCAAAAATGAAGACTCTCCTTTAAATTTAATCATGCATTTATTTTAGCATCAACTTTGTTTTGAAAGGTATAGATAAAAAAGGAGTATGACTTAATACTGAAGTTTTACAACAATACCACTTAGATTAGCACTATCCGCGAGAAATCCCAGAGTGTAGCTAATTGCGCTACAGAGAACAGGGACTGGTAGGCTCAGTATTCTGGGTAATGAATCTTCTCCTAACAAGACTTTACTGATGCTGTGTCTGTGTGTTCATAGCACGTGCCAGTTTGTCTCTTTAAACTGCATGTTGTTGGTGGCTGTTGAGTGACTCTAGAGTGACTCTTGGCACAGATGGATTGAACCCCTGTAATCCACAAGGTTTTCAATGGCTGAGGTTTAGAAGTTGAGTGTCAGACCATTCTTCTAGTCCATTGTAGTCTGTAAACTTTATTGCTAACTGTTTAGCATCGTAGCACCTGGCAAGCCTCCACTGACAGGTGAGTGGTGGCTGCAACTGAGGTATGTTGGCCAGGAATCCAACCCAATTCTCAACATGGAAGGTGCGCATTTTATCACTGAACCACCACTGCCCAGTGTAGGTGTAGGTGTAAATGTGAGTGTGTGTGTACACACATGCACATAAGTGTATGCATGCATGAACATAATTTTTAAAATTGATTGTGACATAAAAATAAATAGAAATATTGCATTTAAATATCTATGAAAGACAGGTAAGTAGACAGGCCTTAAGAACAGGAAATAGAATTGAGAATATAGTCATCCATTGGTATTCACGGGGGCTGGTCCTAGAATACCCATCCACAGGTGCTCTAGTCCCTTCTATAAAGTGGAGTTGTAGCTGCATATCACTGCTGCACATCCTCCTGTACACTTGAAATCATCTCTAGATTACTTAGAATACCTAAATCAATGTAAGTGCTCTGCCAGTAGCACTCTAAGCTCCCTCTGAGCCTTTTGAGGGACTGCTTTTGACCACCTAATTGCTTTCTAGGAGCCATCTTTAATTCCCCACATACTTTCGATCTGAGGGTTTGGAAGGTCAGCTGTGTATTTCTTGGTAGATATTAATTCTAAGTATCTTTCATTCATAAAGGACATGAGTTATTGTCCGAATTACAGCAGCGCCGCTTTAATGGCTCAGACGGAGGAGTCTCGTGGTCTCCCATGGATGACGAACTGCTTGCACAGCCGCAGGTTATGAAGTTACTGGATTCACTCCGAGAGCAGTATACTCGCTACCAGGAGGTGTGTCGGCAGCGCAGTAAGCGCACACAGTTAGAAGAGATTCAACAGAAGGTAATGCAGGTAGGCACCAATCTTGTCTGGTTTCAACATACCTATATATTTAACTTTTCCACTGGTCATTTTTATTAAGTAACTTGTTTGGTTTTTTTACTGTGTCTTACACCATGTTGAGAACCTTAGACTTTTAAAGCAGATCCTGAAACAGTCTTTTTGTCTTTTCACAAATAATAGTTGCATTTAAATTTGACTATTTTGACACTATTGCTTTTTCACCTTTCGCTGTTTTACATTGTGGTAAAATGTATACAGCAGAATATTTGCACAGTGGACCACTGTCATGTGGTTCCCTCCAGTGGCAACAGGTTGTGTAAGTATCGCCACTCACTGCCTTCACACTTCCCCTTCATCCTTAATAGCAACTCCGTGCCCCTCACACAATAACTATTTTCTCCTCCCATTCTCCACTGAGGAGCTTTGGTCTTTATGTAATTGCCTATGATAAAGACTTTCTATGATTGGGATCATATAGTGGTTGTCTTTTTGTTTATGACTTACTGCACTCAGATTGATGTTCTCAAGGTTCATCCATGCTATGGAGTGTGCTCTGTCTCCCAAGGTGCTCTCTGCTTGTCATGCTGTGATTCTGTAATGGCCACAGAGCACTCACAGATACTGCTCATGATTACGTGGTTTATTATGGACGTGGACAGGCTACAATTCAGATGAGAGAGGCTTAGAATACCGTTTTTCAGTCAGGACATGCTACAAAGTTCTTTTAGGGCTGCTAATAAATGCCCAAGATCATGCCACTTCACTTGTAAGCCTAAGGCACTCAACTCCAGCTCCACAAATTAAATGCCTGCAGGCATCCTGCTCCGGCAGGAACACTCAGCTTTATTTGCTCTTTGGGCTGGCAGGCCCACTGCTCTGTCAGGCTCTGGCTCCTGGTTCTGTTGCTACTGCTCCTGTCACTCTTCTGCTTGGATCAGAGAGGTTCACTGTGCAGAGATCTTGGCGTCCAGAGGACAAGTTCCACCGTGGCTTTTCTCTCTTTCTGAGATAGAGAGGCATACTCCTGCTTCTGACAGGGTTCATTTTATACCCAGCAGGAGGCCAATCACAATGAGTCTTGCTAACAGTTAGTCACAGCTGAATACTATCAGTGTCTTCCTCCACCTTCTCTTAACCCAGACTCATCTGGCAAGAGTCGTTTGGTGGAAGTTAGCGAGCCTGGCTAGAAGAGCCACATTAAATAATTCACTGCCCCGACTTGATCAGCTGACCCTTAACTATTTGTTGAGAACATCACTTATGGTCTTCATTTTTATTATTATTAAAAAATTTTTTTCTCATGTAAGGTCTTGATGGGGATTAGGAGATGTAGTGAGAAATTTATGCCCTTTGACAGAGTAGGTTCTGATTCTCCGTGGTGTGATTTCACGCTTCTATGTCGGAGCTGCCGCTTCAGTACCCTCCTGAAACCCTCATTATGTGCTGTGATAGTAATTACTGCTGGTATTAGAAACATTCCTTCCAAAACTATGCATGTGCTTTTCTTCCTTTGTATGGAAGAACCATAGTGCAACATGGGGTGCACTCTGAGTTGTGTAACTACAACTGGAGGCTGGCCATGTTCTCAGTGCCCAGCCCATTCTCCAGGTCAAAATGACTGCTTGATGTGCCCTTCTGCCTGGTTTGCCCCGATATTCTGGATGTTCTTCCATGCATTCTTTAGAAATCATCCTGACCCTGGGAGAGTGGTGGATACTCAGGTGTATTGCTGGCTTGTGTAACTAGTTGTCACTCAATGCTAGATTTTAAGAGTATGCCCCCAATGCTGTACTTTGTATTTAAATGCAGCCATTTGAAGAATCGCAGTGATAAGGATTGGGTATGAATTGTTCTTGCAGAAAGTTAAATATTCAGGTTGACTGAGCAAAGTGTCCTGATTGAGATTAAGTTTTTTAACCTAGTTTGGCAAACTGCCAGCATCCATGTGTTTAAATAGACGTGTTTACTGGGATATCAACTCTGGTTTGCATCTTTTTATTAGAAATAGTCATACACTACTGATACTGCATTACTAAGGAAAATCACTTTCATTATACATTAAAGCTATGTATATTTGACACTTATACTCCCTCCCACTGAGGACATTAATTTATATACCATTTATTGATTTAAATGCTAATGTTTTCATTTTATCCAATTGCCATGATTTAGATTAACCTGTTTCTGTTGTTTACAGGGTCACTATGAGTCAGAAGTGACTCAGTGGCAGTGAGTGGGTTTGTGGGTTTGTTTGGTTTTTTTGTATTGATTTTTCTTTTTTTGATGAATCAGAAATGACTCAATGGCAGTGAGTTTGATTTGGGGGGGGGACTTTGTTTCTAGAGGTCCCACAAAACAAAGTTAGACTGTTTTAAATGTTAATTGGGGTTTTAAAAAATGATATATATCAAATTCTTTTTTTTAATCATTTTATTAGGGGCTCATACAACACTTATCACAATACATACATACATCAGTTGTGTAAAGCACATTTGTACATTCATTGCCCTCATCATTCTCAAAACATTTGCCCTCCACTTAAGCATATATATATATATATATATATATATATATATTTCTTAAGTAATTCTTTTTAGTTGCTCCCATTCTACCCTTATTGCTAGAATTTAGGTATGTATGTCTAGTAAAACAATTCATTATATTATTTTTATAAATTAAAGATTTCATCTCTGTTATATATCCATATTTGTAGCTTATACTAATAAATCAGCAGTTAATTACCTACAATGAAATGGGAAGTTGTTTTGAGTTGTTACATCAAACCTAATATTTTAGTTTTCATTTTTTTAAGTATTGAACAATATAGTTTAGGGCTTCTCTTAACAAGTCCAAGGATCTTAATGCAAAATGCAGTAGGACACAAACTTCATAAAGGAGAGTGAACAGAGGAGCTAGGTTACAGAAAGAAGTGTACAAACCCAAGGGCTACTGGTTAATCTTAAAGGCTATGTGGTGTGTTTTGCTAGTATAATCCTGCCTTGTACCATAGAATTGGTAATACCTTTTTAGAGTTGAGGAATCAAGGTTTCGTTAGCTATTAGAAGCAAAGTCAGAATTCAGATCCACACTTGACTCCATGTCTGGTGCTTTCTCCAGGCTGAGTTACTGAGCTGTATTTTTGTGCGAAAGAACAGGAATCAAGGTTTCGTTAGCTATTAGAAGCAAAGTCAGAATTCAGATCCACACTTGACTCCATGTCTGGTGCTTTCTCCAGGCTGAGTTACTGAGCTGTATTTTTGTGCGAAAGAACACAGAAAAGTGCAGAGCAAAAGCAGAAGTTCCTAGGCCCCTCGGCCCTTGACAAAGCCGAGAAAGTGGAGGTGCTAGAAACCAAACATTGTGTTCCTAAGAGCCCCCGACAAGAGGATTCTACAGGTGACAGAGTGCTCTGCAGTTGACCCAAATGAAGGTTACAGCACTTAGTGGTCCTGCTGTGAGTCCAAAATATTAAGAATGTTGCTCTCTAGTATCAAACCTTATTGATAGAAGTCGAAAGTTAAAATAGGTTGATATTTAGGATTCTAGAAGATAATTGAACAAAGAACATTAAGTGAAATCACAAAAATCATTATCTTTATTTTATAATTTTTAAAAGATTACCTTTATAATTATTTCTAATATAGTTTTTGGCATTAATATTTTTAAAAACTACATTGAGAAATATATTTCCATATGGCATGATTATTTTTAGAATAGCTTTTATACTTTGCAAAGATTACACTGCACAGCTCTCATCAGTGGACCCAAAAAGATCTGTATTGGAAACCTTTCCTAGGAAAACCATAAGGAAATTAGTATAAATTGTATATAGATGCACATGCACACATCTATCCCAGAGCATTGCTTAAAATAGCTGGAGATTGGCAGGATTGTAGATGTCCAGAAACAGAGAATTAGATTCTTCAATGCAAGTGTCATATGGTTTAGAGCAGTAGATCATAGCTTACTTTGATCATTTTCAATTAAACATAAGTGAAGGTCTCCCAAGTTCTGAAGAAAGCCTGTGCACGGGATCTGTAATACACCTGGGTCTCCCTCGTGCACTTCCTGGGAGCTTTCCTACATGTAGAGTTAGGCCCTAACCAGGCATCTATGCTGAAGAGCTCCTTTTTCCTATTTAGTAACAGGTGTAAAGCTTGATAATAATTATGTCCTCTGTCAAAATTACTTCAGAATATATGTTGTTTCAGAGCATATGAGGGAAGTGTTAACAAACAGTTTTCTCTCTCTGCATGGGAATTTGATCTCTATTTGGCTGTCTAACTCTTTTACTGGAAAAGCTAACAGTGGTGTACTAGGCAATATTGCTTAGAGTAGAAATTCTAAAGAGTATCTAGACCAGGAACATTATGAATACCTGATAAGAAGGGCCTCCCCTTGGCCATCCTTGAGTTGAGTGACTCTGGACTACTGGACATGGACCCTGGGACTAGGAGGGTCTTATGCCAGTGACTTCCACATCCACCCTGTTTCCTCATACCTGGACTCTTAGATTGTTGCAGGCACCCAGCACAACAGGGATGCAGATGCTGCCATCCTGGCCGATGAGTTCCCAGCCTGCATCCAGGTAGACTAGTACTGCTGCTGGGCCTCTCAGGGTCTTGGGAATCTGGATATCAATCCTAAATTCCTTTTTTTCAAAAATCTTTTTTGGGGGGCTCTTACAGCTCTTATCACCATCCATCCATCCATCCATCCATCCATCCATCCATCCATCCATCCATCCATCCATCCATCCATTGTGTCAAGCACATTTGTACATTATGTTGCCATCATTTTCAAAATATTTTCTTTCTACTTGAGCCCTTGGTGTCAGCTCCTCAATTTTCCCTCTCCCTCGCTCATGAACCCTTGATAATTTATAAATTTTTTTTTTCATTTCTTACACTGGAATAAATTCTAGAGTTTAAAATTTTCTTCCCCCCAAAAGGGGGTGGGGGAGGGTGTGCAGGGGAGAGCCTTTTCCTTTTCAGTGTACATGAATCAGTTGAGTCATTTGATTTTACCAAGGCTGTAGGAAGCACTTTAGGACGGAGGGCTTTTAGTCTGAGTTTTTCAATAATGGATTATGTAACCTTGGGCAAGTACTTAATCACTCCAGAATTGAATTTTCTTAAACGTCAGATAAGAAATTTGAGCGGTGTCATTTCTGATGTCCTGACTCCAAACCCTAGAGTTCCCTTATTATCATATAGTAATTTTTAATCCTTTGCTGGGGGGGGGGGGGCTTCCCCATTTCCTTTAGGCAGGCAGACCGTCTGATCCCTGGCAGCCTGAGAGGACTATAGTACTCATGCTTCTAAACTTGGGTTTTGGAAAGCTTGTCGTAGTTCAGCTACTTACCAAGACACATTTGCTACCTGTGTGAGAGAACTTAAAATATTCACTGAAATTAAAAAGTACTTGAGAAATGTTTGGAAGAAATAAGTCATGAGAAAGAGTTTGGCAAGCTTTTGAATATTTTTAAAATTTCATCTCAACTTTCCTTTGCAGGTTGTGAACTGGCTTGAAGGGCCTGGATCAGAACAGCTAAGAGCCCAGTGGGGCATTGGAGACTCCATCAGGGCCTCCCAGGCCCTGCAGCAGAAGCACGAAGAGATCGAGAGCCAGCACAGTGTAAGAGGCTTTTTCCTCCGCAAGTCACGGTGCTGTCACTCACACGTGACGACTAGCATGTTCAGGAGCGAGAGGTGGCTATAAACTTTGGTGTAGTAATGTAAAGTATGGCACGTTTAGCATTTAGGGGCTGCGAAGTGTACTTTGATCAATTCTTATTAGCCATTTGGGCTTGCTTTGTCTCCAGTGCAGTCTAATGATATGCATACTTCTAAAAATGCATTGGTGTGAAAATTTTAAAAGGCTATTGTGAGAGAAGAAAGGATTGAGTTCAAGACTTGAGGTTTTATCTGTCCTTCCCGGCACCTCTTTAGTCCTGAGAAAGGTGCTCTCCCCTGCTTGGTTGGAAGTGCATGCGTTGTGGTTGCTGTCAGCTGTGGCTCATGGAAACACCTTGCATGTTAGAGTAGAACCATGATCCACAGCGTTTTCCTGAGTGGTGGTTTTAGCATTAGGTCACCAGGCCTTTCTGTTCAAGTCCTGAGTGGACTTGACCCCCAGCTGCCCCGTCCAGTTAGCAACAAGCTATTAACGAGGAACAATGGTCAGCCTGAGAGTAAAAGTGGAATTGCTGCCTGTAGCCTAACTGTTGGGAATGAATGCAGAGGAGGTTTTTCTATTCTCTCTGCCTTTAGCAGCTCACATTTGTAATTGTAAAGGCGATCAGCAAGCCGATATCAGGTGTGAGACAGACAAATTAACTCACAGGCAGATTATAGACAATTGTTTAAGAGGGTTTAAAGCTTAACTTCGTATGTGGTGGAAGTGGGTATGTGTTAAACTCTTCATTACTTAGACCTGATCCTCCCTCCACATTGTGAATAATTAGTGCCCCGCTTCCAAGTCACATGACTTAGGGTAATTTTAAAAGGATTGAATTGGGAAAATAAAACTTGGATCCCTTCATTTCTATATCCTTAGGTCTGTCGTCAAAATTGGTCAATAGAAATGTTAAACTCTGGGCCAAGATGAATTTTAAGGATCTTCTGAAATTCTGTTACCACATTTGTTTTCCCTTACCCCACCAACTGCCCGAATTAAAACAGTAATGAGAAGTATTGGATAGTATTAGTAAATAGATATTTGAATGAAATAAATTTACAGAATAGAATTTAAATATCCTGCTTTTGAGAATAAATTCGAATTTTATAATATATGACATTTTAATATATGACATAATTTTCCTTTTTAATATACACCTTGATTTTATTATATTGCTTTATTTATATTTTCCAAACCAACTTTAATAGCAGCAGTACGGGCAGATAATCTACACATGGTATCATATCTAAAGGAATTATAATCTCTAACTGAGGGACTAATGTTTGACAACAAGATAATGAATCACGTAACGTGAGTCCGAGAAAAGAGGCTTAAAAAACAAAATCCCATAATTCAAAAATTTATATATTCCCCGGTTTCAATACAATGATTCTTTCGCTTACTCTAAAAAAAACCCCACACATACATTGACTAATTGATATCTAATTTATAGCTCCCTTGAGTGTTCTTTTGGAGCCCTGCTGGCTTAATGTGTTAAATGTCAGGCTGCTAATGAGGAGGTTGGTGGCTGAAGAACCCATCAGAAACGATGGAGGAGAACAGGAGGCAGGCAGTCGGCCTCTGTAAAGCTGTACAGCCCATAGGAAGTCCTGTGAAGCAATTCTACTCTGACCCAGAGGGTAATTATGAATTGTAATCAACTCGACAGCAGTGGCTTAGGTTTTATGTTGTTGTTTTCTTGGCCCTTGTAAAATAACTTAATTTTGCTTGTTTTTGACAGGAATTGTGCTTTAGTTAAACTTTTTATATTGTTCAGGCAAGTCATACTATAACAAAACCACCAAAGCCACTGTCATGGAGTTAGTTCTGACTCATAGCATCTCTGTAGGACAAGAGTAGAACTTGTCCTACAAGCAAGGGTTTGTGGGACTGTAAATGGTGGCATGAGCAGACAACCTCATGTTTCTCCCACAGAACAGACCAAAGCTTTAGCTCACTACAAGCTCTTTTCAGTTGCTGTAAAACCAAAACCTACACTCTCAATGCCATTGAGTTAAATCAGACTCATAGCCACCCTATGTATAGTTTCTGAGACCACAATTTATGAAAGTAAACAGCCTCATAGTTTTTCCATGGAGTAGCTTGTGGGTTTGAACCACAGACCTAGTGGTTAACTAGTGCAGTGCTTACCTGGCAGTGCCACCAGGGCTCCTTAGGGCTCCTATTGTACAGCTTATTCTATAATTTGTGCCCCCTTTCCTATGGGTCTGAGTCAAATTGATGACAACTGATTTTTCCGTTTTTTCTTTTCCTGACACCATTATGCACTGTAGAACATTCTAGACTTCTTTCAAACTGTCACAGAAGTTCTTTTAATAAAAGGACACAAAACATTAGGATCTTGAAGCAGATATTTCTTTGTTATTTTTAAGAGATGCCAAAAGCAATAATTGTAGTTAGAAATTGGAAACGTTCATCTTCTGAGAAGTTTACAAGAATTTAAAATACCTTTTCATTGCATATACATATGGATAAAATTGCAACAGGTATATATAGATTCCTGTACTTTAAATGCTTGATTTTGTATTTATCTCATAAGGTTGTTCTAACTCGCTGCCCTCGCGTCAGTGCTGACTCATCATGTCCCCTGTGGGCTTCCGAGAGTGTCTGCTGGAGTAGAAAGCCCACTCTTTCCAGAGCTGCTGCTGGTCCTGAAATCCTGACTATGGCAGGCAGCCCAGCAACGAGTGGCCACGACGCTGCCAGAGTAAAGGAAGCAATACTAAATTAAAGAACTTTTGAATTGGAAATTACAGATTAGGATTTGTAGGTCACTCTAATATCACAGTCTTATTTTATAGCCTCAGAAACGAAGAGACTAAATGCTTCAATCAATAAGTACTTAGACTAGGCTTGAAGTACAAATTACTGAGATAATTTTTCTTTCTGAGGAAACGACAAAATGTCATAGATGGGCTTAAAATACAGCTTGTTTTCATTCATATATTCTTAATACTTGGCATATGCATGTTCATTGAGGCATGCATTCATACTCCCAAAGAAAAGCCTTCCCACCCCACCCCCCAAAATTGGGAGCAGAATTGGTTATAGATCGAAAAGAATTCACTGAGTTGTTAATTTTTGAAGCTTGATGGTATATGGGGTCTCGTTGCTTTTTTATGAACACGAAAAGTTCTAGTCTAAAAGGTGTAAAAGTGAAAATTGTCACCAATAGGTGGCACTGCACTGTCACCTTGGGAGCAGGTTTTTTGGTGAAGGATCGAATGTATTAGTTTATCAGGTGAAGGTACTGTAATACGTTATTCGAGCTCTTTTGAAAATCAGAAGCCTTTCCTGTTCCTTTGTAGAAGTCAGCGCTTTAAAACATTTATTGGTACTGTTTAGCCCTTCCAAAATTATGAGATACATTTTTAGTATATTGATAGGGTAGAATTGGGAAAAACTTTATAACATTGCATTATATTTTAAAGTAGAGAAAATGAAACTCCTCCAAATATGTATTTCTTTGTTAGGGAATATAAATTCGAAGCTCTGATTTTTTTTACCTCTATTCCTCCTCCTTTCCTAACCCTCTGTCCTTTGGTAAATGCTGCCCTTTTGATCTTAAGTGGTTGATTATTGTCACAGAGGTGAGTTCAGTTCCAGGCCTAATGGGCCACTAGGGGTTCCCCCAGTCACTGTTCAGCCAATGATCCTGGTTTCTCCTGTGATTTCTTTTAGTTGAACAAGAAATCTAATTCTGTCTTTTGGGGAAGGGGAAGTAAGTCTCTGAAGTGGCACGTCACTCTCAGTGGTCTGCTGGTGCGTTGTGCCCAATAGCAAGTCAGAAAGGGTCTACATGGAAGAAAAAAAAAAAAATAAAAAAAAAAAAAAAAAAAAGAAAGGGTCTACATGAAAAGCCAATAGTTTCTTCCTCACAGATATTTTGAGTATCTTTAACCTAAGTATGCCAGCAATATGACTTTCCTTTTAGATCAGATTTCCCATCATGATGTAAATACCCATCATCCCTCCAACTCCAGTGTCAGTCCTGAATGTTTCTGTCCTGATACATGAACATTCAAGCTCATATCTTTCTTTTTTTTTTACATTTTCTGCTTTCATTTCTTCTTTTTTTTAATCATTTTATTGGGGGCTGATACAACTCTTATCACGATCCATACATACATCAATTGTGTAAAGCACATTTGTACATTCGTTGCCCTCATCATTCTCAAAACATTTGCTCTCCACTTAAGCCCCTGGCATCAGCTCCTCATTTTTAACCCTCCCTCCCCCCTCCCTCATGAAACCATGATAATTTATAAATTATTATTTTGTCATATCTTACACTGTCCAATGTCTCCCTTCACCCACTTTTCTGTTGTCCGTCCCCAAGGGAGCAGGTTATATGTAGACCCTTGTAATCGGTTCCCCCTTTCCACTCCACCCTCTCTGCCCTCCCAGTATCGCTGCTCTCACCACTGGTCCTGATGGGATCATCCGCCCTGGATTCCCTGTGTTTCCAGTTCCTATCTGTACCAGTGTACATCCTCTGGTCTAGCCAGATTTGTAAGGTAGAATTGGGATCATGATAGTGATGGGGGAGGAAGCATTTAGGAACTAGAGGAAAGTTGTATGTTTCATCATTACTACACTGCACCCTGACCCGCTTTTCTCCTCCCCATGACACTTCTGTAAGGGGATGTCCAGTTGCCTACAGATGGGCTTTGGGTCCTCACTCTGCACTCACCCTCATTCACAATGCTATGATTTTTTTTGTTCTTTGATGCCTCATCCCTGATCCCTTTGACACCTCGCGATCACACAGGCTGGTGTGCTTATTCCATGTGGGCTTTGTTGTCAAGCTCATAGCTTAACTGCCATCTTAATCCAAAGTCTTAGTGCTAATTTTTCCATTTTTTTTTCCAGAGAATAATTGACCACACAGTTAAATATGTATAAAGACAGACCTGAGAACAGTGTAACTGAGCTCAATGAAACCTCTTCATCCAAAGGGTCTATAACTGTGTGTTCCTATCTTTCCGGGAAGAAACATTTTAATTAATTTCAAGTTACAACTCCCTGCCACAGCCCTTTTCTGCTTACCAAGGCTTGGGTATTCGCAGTTAGTACTCAAATGCCAAATAGGCTGATGGCAGGTTCTCCTGCTCAGTAATTCACTAGAGTGACTTACAGAAGCTAGGGAATGGGGTAGATTCACTAACCTTTTAAATATCACCACAAAACAGATGTGCACAAAGAGATGAGGTGAGGTCTGGTGGTAGTTTTTGGCACCTGGAGCTTTATAGCTCCAGAGACATGCTATGCTTCTCATGTGCACCATCAGTCTGGGAACTCTAAAGTGTGGAATCCTTTATGGTAGTTATTGGGTCTTGGTGAATAGGCATCATTTGGCCTTAGTGCGGAGGAGTCATTTGTTGATTGAATCACCGAATGCATGTGACTGTTTCCAGCATGGTTCCCTGCCCTCCTCTGAAGCTACTTGGCCCGCTGTGGTCCTTGGCCCATCCTTGTTGCCTGGATATTTTAGAAAAGCCGGGGAATTCCAAGGGCTATTTCTGAACTCGCACTAGAGGGCCAGGTGAAGCTCGTTGTCCCATAATCGATGTCAAAGACCAGAAGAAATGGTGTCTAAGTAGTAGGAGGGAGGAGACCACACCACGTCCGGGCCTTGGTGTGTCAGATGTGCAAACAAGAAGAGTAGGAGTTGTGTTTTCTCTGTGGCAGACAGTCTTCACCCAGTGCTGGAAGGGAAGGGCACAGGACAGAAGAGATTTTGCTACTGGCAGACAAGTGCGTTCTGCAGCTCACAGTAGTGGGATTGGAGGGCTGGGAAATTCAGGGGGTCAATTTGAGTAATTTCTCCTTAGAAGGATTTTCTTGGACATATCCCAGTTTATCTGAAGGAAACAAACAAACAAATTGATTTTTTAAAAGGAGTCCGCCTCTAGGAACTAATCTGATCCTTCATTTACTGGTAAACTTCTGAATTACAGGAATGGTTTGCAGTATATGTGGAACTGAATCAACAAATTGCTGCGCTCTTGAACGCTGGGGATGAAGAGGACCTGGTAGAACTGAAGTCGCTGCAGCAACAGCTTAGCGATGTCTGTTATCGACAAGCCAGTCAGCTGGAATTTAGGCAAAATCTGTTGCAGGCAGCTCTTGAATTTCATGGGGTTGCCCAAGATGTAAGTGTTTGCTCTGATTGTGTTTCTTTCCTTCCAGGTATCTGAACACTTATTTCTATGCATAATTTTTGCAGGTTTGCATGCCTCCTAATTACTTTTCTGGAACAGTAAATAATTCAGTGGTGGGGGGACATGAGAGCAGATGCTTTGATTATTTGTTATTTTTCCAAACCTTTCTGCATGCAGTTAAGCCTCTGTTTCCTAAACAGTGTGTCCCATCCACGTGGAGGGATTTATGCCTCATAACACAGACTGAAGTCAGAGTTTCTGTAATTGTTTCTCCTATTCGAACGTGGACACACTCTTGTCGCCCTGGTGCGTGCCCACTGCGTGTTCTGTAGATAACATGTCTTCTCATTATTAGTTCTTGTCTTTTAACTGCTTAGCCTTTGAAGTGCCATTATGATAACCTCATTAGCTGTAAACCTCATTAATCATGAAACACTTTAGATGCTGATTACATCAGGGTCATCTCTTTGGTGTCCCTCTGCTTTAGTTGTCTCAGCAGTTGGATGGCTTATTAGGGATGTTGTGCGTAGACGTAGCACCAGCCGACGGAGCATCGGTTCAGCAAACCTTAAAACTGCTTGAAGAGAAGCTGAAAAGTGTTGGTAAGCAGATTTTTAAAATGCTGAAACATAAGGTTGTTGTTCTTCTGTCTCTCTCTCTATATCATTTACTGTGGTTAGATAGTTAAGTCCCAACTTACCCGGAACTAATTATAATTACTTACAAGAAAAAAATGGCATGGAAGGTTTTAGTCCCTGGAAGGGAGTAGCGTGTCTGCTGAAGCACTACTTTTCATTATTGGTGTTGGTCAGCCACTCCTCTCTTCATTGGGCCTTCCGCCTTTGTTTTCCCAGCTGTGTCTGCAGGTGCTGTGTCTTGCATACACTACGAGCAATGATCTGTAGTGCATGGATCAACTGTAATTAGCTGTGTTCTATGGCAAACCTTGAATGGCCCCACACTGTGTTTCATGCGGTGATTTTTGTTGTGGTTGCCCTATCCTAACCTTGTGAAGGAAAAAAAAGTTCGTTTGGTTCTGCGGGCTTGTTTCCCCAAGGTTGCATGCCCTCCAAGGCGGGGAGGGTGCAGTGCCCCATTTGTAACGCTAGTTCTACCGTGTCACAGCAAAGCCTTGCTGGTTTCTCTGGAGTAGTAGATACAGGGAGCGTCCCTCGATTGTGACTGGGGACTTCTGAGGATAGTGGGGCAAAGTCACACGGGCGTGGAACTGGGAAGAGAGATGGAGAAGAGAAAGCAGGATGTTAAGACAGAGCATTCGTAGCAAGGGGAGATGTGTGATTGAAATACATTAAATTAAGCAAAATACTTGCTTTGCTCTCCTAAAAGTTTTGAACTACATAAAACAAGTAGTGGGAAGTGTTGAAAAACCGTATTCATTAAAATGGAGATCCTCACATTTTCTTGCTTTCAACACTTACAAGTAATTATTCTCCCTCTCAATTCCCTTCAGGGAATTGACATCAGGGAGAAATGTGGCGTGAGAGAGCACTCCCTTCTGAGCCACATTTAAAAGAGTTTCATTGCTTGAAATGTCGCGAGGACGCCATCCTAGGACAGTTAGTTCATGTACAGAGCTGTTGGTTGTACTGGGACCTAAGTGCTCAGTGTGCGAGGGAGGGAAGCACCGTCAGCGAGCAGGGGATTCACTCGGTTCACTTTTGTTTTGTTTGTAGATGTGGGATTACAAGGGCTGCGTGAAAAAGGCCAAGGTCTTCTGGATCAAATCTCCAACCAGGCCTCCTGGGCCTACGGGAAGGATGTGACTGTCGAAAATAAGGAAAATGTGGACCATATACAAGGGGTGATGGAAGACATGCAGCTTAGAAAACAAAGGCAAAGTTTGGCTACTCGTGTGCATTGTTACTAAGAAAACAAGATTCATTGCAATTAAAAGTTTTTATACTGTAATTTATACTTTTACATATAAACTAACAACTTAAAAAAAAATAGTTTTCGGGCAGTCTCTCCTATTTAAAAAGTTAAAAAATTCCATTTAAGCATACATCATTTTTGTCAACCTTTGTGTTTGTTTGTGTCTGGTCTCAGAGTTCACCTTGCTCGCTGGCAAGGCACCTGAAGGCCTTATCGGCATGCATACTACTGCCTCACTACTTCCACTTCTCAACTCTCTTCTGTTTGGCTTCTTTGTCCCTCGCCATTTCACTTTTTAAAAAAAGCTTTTTAAAAAAATTTTTATGTCAGCCTTTGCTCTTCCTGCTGTCATCAGTAACTTTGGAACTGCCAAGTGTAATGAATGCTTCACCTCACTCAAAGTACAGTGAATGCCTAGTCCTGACCCTGCTTGACCACTCGGGTAGGATTGGACACAACTGACTGCTCTTATCAAAACTCCCTGGCAACTTTTTCTCATGGAGTCTCTTCCGGAGCTCTCCCTGGTTTTCCTCACTGGTGTCTTGTCATTTCGCCAATGTGAGGCTTCCAGGGTTTGTTCCAAGAGACCAACTGCTTTTCTCACTGTATGTATTCTTCATGGACAATATCACTCTTTAATTTCTTTATTTTAATTTTTTAGTATGATCTATCGTGATTTAATCCTTATGGCTTGGACAATAATATTAAAGTGTTTTACTTTAAAAAAAAGTGTTAGATTTTAAAAACTATTACTTCCCTTCAGTCCGGTAGAATTATTTACACTACGTAATACCGTAGCAGCCCCAGTGACCTAGTGGTTAAGAGTTGGGCTGCTATCTGCAAGGTATACAGTTCAAAACCACTAGCCCATTCCTTGGGAGAAAGAAGGCTTTCTCCTCCCATAAAGAGTTAATGTCTTAGAAAGCCACCGTGGCAGTTCTAATTCCTATGAGTAGGAATTCGCTCAATGGCATTGAGTTCGTTAACAACTTATATAATGCCTTGGGCTCTTATTGAGAGCACCTTGATAAGAATTAGCCTTGTGATAACCACTTGTGTATTGTTATCAAGCTGTCTTTAAGAACATCAATGGTAGTGGAGCCTGGTGCCTTCTTTGCAGAGTTACTGGTATTTAGACTGCTGTGAGTCTTCCCTTCCCCTTTAGAGAACCTGGGGTTACATGGTAATGGAGGAAGCGGATCAGAGCCCTAATAGGTCACATCACCTTAAAGGTTTAATCCAGGCGTCCTCAAACTACAGCCTGCAGGTCACACGCAGCCCGCTGAGGACCTTTATCCGGCCCGCCGGGTGTTTTCGCCCCATTTGTTTTTTACTTCAAAATAAGATCTGTGCAGTGTGCATAGGAATTTGTTCAGAGTATTTTTTTAAACTATAGTTGGGCCCTCCAACGGTCTGAGGGGCAGTGAACTGGCCCCGTTAAAAAGTTTGAGGACCCCTGGCTTAATCTATGTATTATCCACACAGCACTATTCTGAGTTGGAATTCTCTGTACTCAGAAATCAGTGTTCCTCCCTTTAAGAATATACATGGATGGGAGTTTTAATTTTTTACACAGAATTAAATAATATTCTGGGCGATATAATGAAGAGTATTAATTTAAAACTTCATTGTAATATCACCTTCTATATCAATATTTAAAGAACTTTTTCATCGTTTTGAAGTTCATTAATGGGTATTGACAACAAGAGTTTTCTGGATTTTAATATACTATTATATTTATGCTTTGCTTCAATATTTTGCAGAATCCATGCAGTCCTCAAGCGGGTTTGTGGTTCAGTGTCCTTCAGGTATTTTGAGGTTTTATTGTAGTGTAGATCTAGCCTAGCTATCCCTGAACTTCTGACAACACTCCTTAGTTACAGTCTCCATAGTGCAGGACTAAGTATTTTCGTATGCAGTAGTGCGGTATGGCTCTGTACATGAGCGCCAGACGTAAGGGTTCCCCACAAGACTAAAACCATGTCCTGAGTTCATGTTTGCCTTTCTTAGATGTGAAGACATGGTCGATGTGCGAAGGTTAAAGATGCTTCAGATGGTGCAGTTGTTTAAATGTGAAGAAGATGCTGCCCAGGTAAGGACAGCCATCCCCATTATGTAGTTGCCACTATAGAAAGGATTAATTTCATCTTACTACAAACAAAATGCATATTTTGCCCATGGTACTGAGAAAATATATTCGTTAAGTCAGATTTTTCGTTTAGTTTGTTGAAGGAAAGAAATTTTGATTATCATTCAGCCTAATTTGACTTATATTCCCAATGAAATCCCCTATTGAGGTAGAAATTAAGATTGTTTATTATTGATTGTTAACTTGTGATCAGATATATCTCACCTTAAAGGCTAGATTGACACATTTGTTCTCAGAAGAGGTTGTTCCGTGCCCAATAAATAATTTGATATCATCTTTATGCCGTTAGGATCAGAGACCATCTTTAAAGCTTGAGGTAGAGGAATGATATGACTGCATAGTACTAAGAAGTCTGTCGTGAGATCCCAACAAATCTATATTACAGAAACACATAATCTTCTGTTAATATATTTCTTAATATTAAGAGTGCTTCTCCTAGTATGTGTTCACGTTAATGTTTTTGTAAAAATTGCAGGAAGGAGGAGATTACTTCATGTCTCTTGACAGTGAGTGAAACATACCAGTAAGAACTAGCGTGCCATTGATGGAGTCATTAATCACACGCAGTTCCCTTCTCTTTATGAACTTGATGTGCTGCATAAAGAGTCACGAATCTGGCCTCACTGTTGTTTCTCTCCCTTCAGGCAGTAGAATGGCTAAGTGAACTTCTGGACGCTCTGCTTAAGACGCACATCAGATTGGGCGATGATGCTCAGGAAACAAAAGTTTTACTGGAAAAGCATAGAAAATTTGTTGATGTTGCACAGGTGCAGAACTGGTTATCTTCCTATCCTCCAAGCTCAGTGTTTGAATAGCTTTCTGCATGATTATAATGTAACTTAACCCTTCAAGCCCAAGAAGGTTAGTTTTGTTATTCCAGAAATAGCTCAGAATTAAGAAAATGTCAGCCGGTACCTCAAAAATAGCCTCCATAACCTTGAGGGTTTCTGTGGGCCTGAGTACAGGCTCTGTATGCTCCCCATGCTTCGACCTATATATTATATAATTGCATATTTAGGGCAGTCATGGAAATTAATGTGACAGATAGGAATAAATTAAAAACTCCAGCTTCTGCCTCTCACCAGTGTTAGTGCAATCATTTTTCGTTGTTTGTGGTGATGGAAGAGTCTTCATTCATGGTCCCTGATCATGCAGTTCACAGTGTGACAGTTGTGTTTCCTCTGTAAAGTACCAAGTACCTGCTTTTCACCTGCCTATTTTATGAATTGAAGGAGCTCTGGTGGCACAAAGGTTAAGCGCTTGGCTAACTTGAAAGGTTGGTGGTTTGAACCCACCAGCTGTCCCCAGGAGAAAAATGTGGCGGTCTCCTTCCAAACCCACGGAGGCTGGAACAAGTACTCTTCTGTCCTGTGGGGTTACTGTATTGATTATCTCCTCAATGTAGATTTTCCATTGTTTACAAGATCAAAGCAAGGTTAACTACATAGTAAAGCTACTATTCCAAATGTATTAATTTATTAATCCATGCAACTTAATGGCAACCACATTTTTTTGTTTTTTAATAATTAGTAAGGTGGGATTCTTTTTGGCCAGCGGGAATGGGCAGACTGAGATAGATAAAAACATAAAGAAGAAGAGGAAGTCAAGCAAGAAAGAAACTTATAAACTAAAAGCATTGCCTCCTCTTCATTATTAATGCTGAGGGTCATTTGTAGTGGTCAGCACACAGCATTGATTTCAAGTGACGTTAGTTAATGGCCAGCGCATTCCTCCTCCATGACGTCCCTTAGCCTTCCTGCCGCCGTTCTCTTATGATAACTTCATGTTTGCTTTTGCTTTTCAGAGCACTTACGACTATGGAAGACAGTTGCTGCAGGCTACAGTTGTGTTGTGTCAGTCTTTGCGCTGCACTTCTCGATCATCCGGGGACACGCTACCTCGACTGAACAGAGTCTGGAAACAGTTCACAATCACATCTGAAGAGAGGGTACACAGGCTGGAAATGGCTATTGCGTTTCACTCAAATGCTGAAAAGGTGTGTTTCTTGAAGACATACTCCCCATCGTATTTACTGTATGTAATGTAAAATATATCCTGCTACAGTGTCAGTATGTTTAAAATAGTTTGAGTTCAAATCACATCTTCTTAATAGCTGATCTCAGTGCTGGAGTCCTGTGGTTGGAGAAGTCCAAAAGCTTCAGTGTTCTCTCTGGCACGCCCCACCCACCCACCCCCACCCTGCATGTGTGCTGCATTCCGGTGTCAATGGCCCCGATCTCTCAATGAATTCAGTCCATCAGTCTTGGAATCAAAAACTAGAAGCTGTGTAGTGTCACTTGAGCAAGTTGTCAGGCATTTTACTTTATCTACACAGCAAGCATGGATAGCCGTACATTACCATTCTGAATGGTGACTCCATTATGCATTAACCTGCTTGGATCTCTTAGGAGGAAAGTTAGCTTGCAGGAGGAGCTCGTATCAATGAAGATGTTCTGAATCTGAGTCGTAAGTTTGGTAACCCGGTCTGTAGAACAGAACAGATGGTGCACTGGCCCTCAGAACTTCAAGCAGTGCGAATCTTAAATGGTATGACCCAGCGAAGAATGCACATAGGTCAGTCTTTCTGAGCTGGTCAAAAACGAGCCTGAGGAAAATGAAAGTATGCAAGGTGGTTTCTTTACTTTTTAGTTATTTTTTAAAACTGAAATATACTATTAATGCAGAAAAGTGTACAGATCTGTATACAGAACAACCAAGTGGTCTGCTTGGTGAGTTTTTAGAAAATGAGCCCACCTGTGTTATCAAAAAAACCACTCGCTGCTACTAAGTTGGTTATCAGTACAGTACAGCCTGGCCTTAATGGAAGCTCGACCCCACCCTCTCCTGGGCACACCCTCCGACTCCCTCCCCAGCTCACCAAGCGGGACCACTGGTCTGAATTCTAACACCACTGATCATTTTTTCAGGCACTAATTTTAAAATCTATCTGCAAGGACATTTTAAAATTTAGAACCCTGTAAGCGGTCATGTGAGAATTAATCTAATTAAAAGCGTTTCATACAAAATTAGTTATTTTTGTGTGTATGGATTGCGATAACAGTTGTATGAGCCCCTAATAAAATGTTTAATAAAAAAAATTTAATTATTTTTTCTGCTAATTGACCTTTTTCTGTTTATAATAAATTTGATAAGGTTATGATATTGTTTAAACATAAGTAAAGCTCTCCCTCCCCTTTTTTTAAACCTAGTATTTTTCTTTTGCTTTATTCTAATTTAACCCCCACCGGCCTCACCCCTTTCCCCCAAAAAAACCACTCGCTGCTACTAAGTTGGTTCCAACTCCTTGTTAGCCTATGGGGCAGGGTAGAAGGATCCCTGCGGGTTTCTGAGACTCTCGCTTTGTGTAGAGCAGAATGCCTCATTTTACTCCTGCGGAGCTGCGGTTTCCAACTGCTGACGTTTCAGTCCATAGCCCCACACAGAACCCACTATGCCACCAGGACTCCCTTGATTTCATCCAGTAATCATAAATGTAACCACAAATACAAGCAAATTATTTAGTGCTATTGGAAAAATAACAAAATTTAATCTAGGACTTTTAGATATATAATTAAAACTGCTCAGTTATGAATAGTACTTTGAAAAAAACAATTGAAATTTTAAGTAAAGTGTAATGCAAAAATAAATGCTACTGGTTTTTTTTCCCTCTCCTTAAATTTTACAATTCAAACGTATGATTACTGTATATACTCGAGTATAAGCCAGGTTGTTTCAGCACTTTTTTTTTTAATCATCTTATTGGGGGCTCATACAAAGCTTATCACAATCCATATATACATCCATTGTGTCGCGCACATTTGCACATTTGTTGCCATTCAGCACATTTTTTGTGCAGTTTTTGTGGTAAAATTAGGTGCCTCGGTTGATGTTCCGCTTGGCTTCTACTCAAGTTATATACGGTAGTTTTAAATGGGAATGGTTAGGGGAAGAAAAGAATGAGTATCTCATCAAGGACTGTGAAACTTCTCTGTTATTTGAATTATATCCTGATTCGTTGACACCACTAATTCAAGCCTGAAGACCAGTTTTTAAAATGTCCAGTTAGTTTAAAGTATCACATATGTATTTTTTGAGTCTAAAAATACTTTCTTTCAGTTTTGAAAGTCTGTATGTTCATTGAAAATAAAATCTGTATCATACCTATCCCAAGTTGTTAAAACAACATACAGTAAATGTCTAATCAATGGTTGTTTTCTGAATGAAAGCATACTTCTGAAGCTCAAGTTCCCAATAGTCATGTAGTATGATTCCCCACCACCACCACATCACTGTAGACCTGTGCCTATTCCAGTTTTATGTTGTCCGTAGAAATTATACGTTTGGTTTTTTTGTTTGGATTTCTTGAGTCTGCTTTGCCAATAATAACTCATTCTGATAGAGCCGTGTTCATGAAAATGCAATAAACACAATATCTTCAATCTAATGAATTTGCAAGAGCTCTGATTCCCTTTCCACGGCTCCTGATGGATGTTGCCCTTTTATTTGTTGCAGATTTTGCAAGACTGTCCAGAAGAGCCTGACACTATTAATGATGAGGAACAATTTGATGAAATTGAGGCTGTTGGGAAATCACTTTTGGATAGATTAACTGTGCCTGTAGTTTATCCTGATGGGTATGATGCAAATTTTTCTTAACCGTCTTGTCGGGTCTTAAAGTGAAATCATCATTGAGAGAGGAAAGCTAATGTTTTAAAAATTAGTCTTGGGCCACACTTTCAATCCCTATAATGAATTGCATGAAAACGAAAAGGAATACAAATCTGGCTCTCAGCAGTAGTAGCATTTGGTTCTTGCTGGTATTAGACAGCATGCATCTTTACAAGGTGTTGTAACAGAAAGGTTCTGGACCACAATGAGACACAAGGGTGGGGTGGGTGGGGTGCCTTGGCTATGATGATGGCAGTGAGCAGTGTGACTGAGCAGGTTAGTAGCTCTTTAAGCTTCAGGAAAGGGAAGAAGAAAGAAAGGAACAAAAAGTATGGTTACAGCCCAAGCACTACTGGATTAGACACTTCAGCGCTTTTTCACGTAATCGCACGTGATTTACTATTACTTTCAAGTAATAGCACTTCTGGCGAACACAGGCGAAACAGGCGCGGGAAGATTGAACGAGGTGCTCGGGTCGTCACAGGTCTGTTGCTCTCTTTATTATCCCTGTGGAATCCAACTTTCCTGTGTTAAATGGCGAAATCCTGCGCTTGTATTTCCTCCTATTCCAAATATTTCACTGAAGCAAACTGGGCCAGGTTAAGAAAGTAAGAATAAAGAAAAATTAAACGGTCTCTTACACTCAAAAAGTGTATGTGTAGACCCTATTTTTGGGGAAAAAAAAGTGTACTTGATCTACCTATAATCTTCTCCGTGGGGGCAGACAACAGAAAAGTGGGTGAAGGGAGACGTCGGGAAGTGCAAGATATGACAAAATAATAATGTATAAATTATCTAGGATTCATGAGGGAAGGGAGGCGGGGAGGGAGGGGAAAATGAGGAGTTGATGCCAGGGGCTTAAGTGGAGAGCAAATGTTTTGAGAATGATGAGGGCAATGAATGTACAAATGTGCTTTACAGAATTGATGTATGTATGGATTGTGGTAAGAGTTGTATGAGCCCCTAATAAAATGATTAAAAATAAATAAATAAATAAAAACATTTTCTTCGGTTTATTTATTTATTTATTTACTATTTAGATACAAAAGAGAAAAAGAAAGTAAGAATCATAAGGCGTGCCATCTCTGAGGGTCTAGTGTACAGGCGCCCAAACTTGTTAGGCCTACTGCTTCCTTTTCAGAAAAAAAAATTACTATATCCCCGTCCTGCCAATTAAAACCCTTTGTACTGTTCTCCGTAATCCAGGATAATCTGCTTTGCATCTCCCCTGGATGTCCCAGCACCTGTCAGGGGGTGCAGTATCACCCACTTTGGGAAATACTAATCTAGACTATTTTAGTGAAAATAATTTAGCAGCGATCCCAGAGGTAATAGGTAATTCAAATGATAGAGAATGCAAACCAATGAATAAAAATACAACTATGTCTACATTATGTTAGAGTGTAATGGATAAAGATGTGGATTCTGGAATCAGACGTCTTGAGTTTAAACCAGAGCTCTACCCAATTAACCTTCTTGTGCCTCAGTTTCCTCCTCTAAAACTCGGGGAAGTATTCATCACTCATAAATCGCCAGGTTACATGGGGTAGAGGGCTGGATGGATGATTTGTGTGTTGTGTCAGGTGCTGCTGTCATGGCAGCTCTGACTCACGGCAGCCTTAACTACAAAGAGCACAGCTGTTGAAGCCCATTGTGGGCGGCCACTGTGTCGTTCCATCCTGAGTCTTCGTCTTTTTCACTGACTCTTCATCAAGCGTGATGCGCCCCTTTCCAGGGACTGTCCTCTCCTAATAACAGGCCCAGAGCACGTGAGACGGTGGCTCGCCACCCTTGCTTCCAGTGAGCATTCTGGCTATACTTCTTCCCAGACAGATTGGTTTGTTCTTTTTAGCACTGCATGGTCTTTTCCATATTCTTGGCCAGCACTTTCATTTAAATGCATCTGTGAATTCTATCTAAAGTACTTAAAGCATATCTGAGCACGGCTGCTATGTAATGAGCTCCAGGTGATGATTTGGAATTGGTAGATAGAAATGATCATTTTAAGATTGGGACTTGCAAAAAGTTGATGGAAAACATAGAATCGTAAGATAATGGAAAATCTCTATAACCTTTTGAAGCCCCCTCATATTCTTGGAAGGAACATTATTCAGTTCATCCTTAAATGTTCTCCAGTCAATGGCTACACCTGAGCAATGAGAAATAGCTGATAGTTAGGTTATGCGTGTATAACAAAGGGGAATAAAATGTCACTGTTCATCAATTCACCTAATAACAATATTATAGAGACGCTGCCAGCTCTGATACAACCATTTCTCCATCTCATAGCCTTTAGTCACACAGTCCTCGGTTTGTTTTACTCAGATCAACTTCGGGGCATCTGTCCTTGCAAATTTTGCTTGGGATTTTCCCTCCTGTGTTCCACAAATTGTCGACATGTCATTTCCTCTACTTCCAAGACAAAAAAGAATAAATTAATACTGCATTTTTAATATTTATAAATACATACCTTTAATATTTGAGGCTGTTACTTTATTCCTTCTTAGAGTCATATCAGAATTTATATCAGTTTGAGACATTTCACTGATTAAATTTTCTCAATGGTGTCTAGTATGTTCTTCATAATGATTACTAGAGTGATCCTTTTTTTAAAGCTTGTTTGACAGTACTACGTTGTATAAGGTTACTCATATACGTAACCTTACGTTCCCCGATGCAGAGAAACTAACTGGTTGTCCCTCTGAGTGCACTGTGTGAAAAGCCAGGTTCCATCCTGAATGCCTATGAGACCCATGTGGAAATCCTGAGTTTTCCCCTCTTTGAGTTAAGTCCCGGAGCTTCCTACCTCTTAATCTGAAAAATGAGGCAGCTAGCCAGATAACTTGTAAGAAACAGACACTATGACTCTTAATACATTACCCTTGAAATTTTAATAAAATTAAATGATTTTATCTATTATTGTCCCAAATTATGGCTTCACATTGCAAAGGTGTTTACTTGCCAGCCATATGAGATAGCTGTGTACTTGGTACATGTAAAGCACATGAATAAATTCAGTGTTTGTGAGTGTTGCTCATGTGCCTAAGACTAAAAGGTTTATCTTCAACAGTAGATGGTTTGGTTTATGGAGATCATTATAACTTCACATGTTAAGACACAGGTACACCACTAACTTATTTTTCTCAATATGCCTTAACATTTTATACCTGTAACAAAATTTTTCTACTGAATCATTACTAGTCAAAAGTAAATATACCTGTAGTCAAGGAATAAGTTCCTTTCTACAGGCAGACCGTAACAAATAGAAACACCCCCCACCCACACCCACCCCACCCCCGGTAACTTGTGTCCTTTGCTGCAATCAGTAGATTTGTGTTTTATCTGATTGGGGTTTTCTGTTTGTTTGGCTTTCAGAACTGAACAGTATTTTGGAAGTCCAAGTGACATGGCTTCGACTGCAGAACACATCAGAGACAGGATGAAACTAGTTCATCTCAAAAGGCAGCAGCGGAGACACCCTGGAATGGTGACCACAGAGAGCTAATGAGGATGACGAGCCCCACAGACAAGCAGTTCACCTGCACGTGGCTGGTGTTCGACCCTAGTAGACACAGCACCTTAAGATGCATTTCACAGCCAAGATAGGCTCACTCTTCCTCTTAAACACATTTCTCTATGTATGTTAACACCTTGTCACCACCGAGGCATAACTATTTAAAATGCTTTGAGCCCACAGACTCCAAGTCTCTTAGAAGAAAGAACTGTAAACATTGCACTGAAAACTTGCTTTAAAGCATTACCTGACCCTGACAGTTTATAGATGAACAACTGATAGTAAGCTCTGAATGGTGCTAATAAACACTGAGAAGCTTAGCTCTCTATCAAAAAGAGGGAGGAAAAAAAAAAGGCTGCCCCTCCTCCCCAGGTGATGTAGAAAATTTAGGCTGTAAACTCGTATCATTAGACAGTGGTGTCTTCAAAATTTTCCTTTGTAATTTTGCTTCAGAATTGATTATTTTTATTGTGTTCATATGGGGAAACCCGTTCAAATTTTTGATATATCATATTCATTAAAAAGAAATTTTCCTATTTGTATTGATAATGTATTAAAAAAATTTGTGCTTAATAAAAAGGTTTCTTTTTAGTATCCTATTTAATTTGGTGGCTATATCCTATTTCCAAACCCGAGTGCCTTATTTCAAAGGGCATTCTTAGGGCTGATGTCATTATTTTTCCATGTTATTTGCATGTGGTTTAGCCAGAGAATTCCTATGTAAGCATGTATAGATAATAAATAAGCATGTTCTGTCATCAAAAATTGGTTGTGAAGAACAGTTTAGATCTTTAAGAATTTATTAATAATGGTATAGTGTTTCTAATTTTTTCTCTTTTTCAACTTAGAAAATATTATCCAAATTATTAACTCCCCTGAAGACACTTTGTCTTTAAGGGTGGGGTTGATGGGAAAAAGGTGTATGTAATTGTAATTATTTGATTGTAATCCTTTACATTAGAGCAATCTTTCTGGAACTAAAATAACAAGTGTTCAAAAATTTTAATTTCTCATAATAGACGAGAGTCAAAAATCAAATCTGACGTAGTTTAGCAAAGACTGCACTGTCCTTTAGAAATACAATTTATGGCAAAATACTAGTTCTTTAAGTGTATATTGTGTTTAAATGGTAAAATACATTTAATTTAATTTAAAATTTTATGTCAGAAAATGTTTTTTGAGAAAGATTTAAAATATTTCCCCCTCCTTTTTATCAATACAAAGTTATACAAAGAGTTCTATGCTGGTTCCTTTCTCTTGGCTTACTGATATGTATCATGTACCCCCTGATGCAAAAAACTTTTCTCGGACCTGCTGGTTTCTCCAGCCTTCCTCACTGCCAGACTGACCCTGGAGAAATCTATGTCTGTTTCCACCACTTGACGTCACTAATTGGTCAGTACCTCGCAGCCGGTGTCACACCGCACCCTTGTGGAATTTTCTTTTGAAAGCCGGCCTCAGGCTCCAAGTGAACTGGTGGAATGACTTTTCTCTCACCATCTGCATCTCTCTTACCTGCTCTATTCCTGTGACATCTACACCCACTGGGCACCCTTTCTTGGGAAAGTGTCTCCTCTGCCACAGCCGTGGGTACAGTCACATAGCTCTTCGCTGAAGTGTCCCTCCGATCTCTGAGTGCTCAGATTGTCCCCTCAGAGTGCTCTGCTCTGCTGTGGACAGCCCACCCCCATAACACCCTGCAGTTCATGTCTGATCCAAAATCCTAGACCTGTAATTTCAACGGCCTGCTTGACACTTCAACTCAGGTGAAAGGCGTTACCCTGCTGAACATCTTTCTCAGAGGGCAATTTTGGTGAATGGTGCACTCCTTTTTTCCAGTTGAGCGTAGCCAGAAAACACGGGGGTGGGGGGGTGTTCAACTCCCTCCTCTTATACTACCACTGCTTCTGAGAACATCCAGGAAGTTCCTTCTATACTTGGTGCATCTTCTTATTCTCCTGGGGTTCTCTGCTTCAGGCTTCATGACGGTGCTAACCACATTCTGCAGCGGTGTGTCCGCACCTGCTACGTTACAAGCTGTGCAGGGCCAGGCTCTTGTCCTCTGCTGTTTCTAGCCCTTTGTGCCCACATCGTGCGCGCTTAGTTCTCTTGTTGTGACAGATTTGTTGTTGGCTGTTCTTGTAGGCATTAGTAAAAATTCCTTTCTCCAGGAATCTGAAGTGCGCTTTAAACCTTGCATTTTTAATTCTGTGACTGACTTTAGCAGGTAAATCTCTCCATAAGAAATTCATTTGGTAATTTAGATACTTAGAAATCAGCTACATTTGATATTTAGTTACTATACTCAATATCTTTTTATTACACTGAATTTGAGAGTAGTTCAAATGTTTCTATTAAGTCTTCTAGAATCAAATTGGTTTGTTAATCACAAGGCTCTTAATTTTGCCAACAACCCCTGACTTACCATTGTCAAATGTTTTTTTTTAATGTACTTTAGGCTGCCCTGTCTGTAATAAGAGTAAATTAAGGCAATTATTTTGAATGGCAGTTTGTCAGATAAAACTGGCTATGCTTGGAAAATAATAAATGTTCTTACTCATTATCTATAAATTTACTGCTCCTTAATATATGGGTAGTATCTGTATATGCACAGGTATCGAATAAAAACCCAACACTGCTGTCATGTGGTTTTCCCCGAGGACAGTGGTTCTCAACCTTCCTAATGCCATGACCCTTTAATACAGTTCCTCAAGTTGTGGTGACCCCCCAACCGTAAAATTATTTGCGTTGCTACTTCATAACTATAATTTTGCTACTGTTAGGAATTGGATGACCCCTGTGAAAGGGTCATTTGACCCCCGAGGGATTGTGGCCCCCAGGCTGTGCTAGGGTCATCATTGTGATGGGATGGTTAATGTGCCAGGTGACGTCAGCGTGCCACCAAAGTGACAGCTTGATTCTAGTTCACAAATTAATAATGGCCTGAAAACAGAAAGCACTATTCTTTCTGATTGACACGTACCCTGACTTTCCTCATTACCTTAACCCACCTCAGGGAATTATTGAAATGTTGATTGGTCAGTTCTTATTGCTTTGTTTTCTTTGGTGAATTTGGGGTTTTCTTCCTCTTCTCACTATGCATTTTCTCTTATGTAAATACTCACATCACAGCAGTTCTGGCATCTGTTCTTCGCATCTCTAACCCAGCTGAGTTAAATGCAAAGATAGGAAGTGCATTTTAGGTACAATTGGTTTTATTCCAGTCCCCAATGCCAGTGACCTTATTCTACTTGTGTGACTCACGGTGATGGGGATGAAACAGCTCAGCCTGCCCGCTGGGGTGTTGATGGCAGGTCCAGACACCGCAGCTCTGTAGAAGGTAACATACCTCTTTCGCCCCGTAGGCATTTCAATTGGCTAGTGCTTGATGCCACACTACGGCCCTGTCCCATGGAAGTACAATGTGTTGTCCGTTTGTTATTGGCAGTTGATAGATGGCATGCAGTCCAGCTGTGTACATTATTTCAAGTGGAATACTCCTTTCTATGAATAAGACAATTTACTTTTCTAATAGTCCTGAGCAAACTGTAGTCTGCAGTCTAAGCTCTTTATTACAGCCTGTGACATGATTGGGAGATTAACAGAACTGGCCTCGTTGTGGAGAACATCCAAAGTTCTCTAAGGCATAAGTTCCTTGTCAGTAGGGATTGCATATCATTGTGTATTCTCCCGTCCTTGCATCCTACCCAGACTGCCCAGGGCTATGGCAAAGACTCACCATGCTCTGGCTGCTAGAAGTGTATGGAGAGTGGTGCAGGCAGAAACACCAGTAAATATGTCATCAGTGGCAAGACTTGTATGATCATGGTATCCTTGTTTAAGCACTGAAAGCAAAAATTACCTGGGATTTGCTGGAAGATAGCTGAACAGTTAACCTAATTAGTAAACTTACCAGTGTTTACTTTCATTCCTAAAAATAAAAATTTTAAGGCAAAGAATACTCTCATGATATATAAGGGCAACAAATATACCTTGTTGAGGCCAAATGGACAGATTTAACACTGGACATCATTGTACTTTAACGTGATACCATATAGTCAAGATGTAACTCAGAATCCTAAATACAGACAGGATAACAGAGAAGATGAAAACTATAATTGAAATGATAATATAGTGAAGAGAGTTTGGATTGAATGCCTGGTTTCCAAATCTAACTGTCATTCCCCCTAGACCTTGATAAAAAAAAATCACAAAATTTACTTTGGTCTATAAAATATCAATTAATTTTAAGAGTGAAACTCAATGACGAGCATTTTAAACTTTGAAAACTAAAATGCTAGACAAAAAGTATTACTGTAATCTCAGAAGATTTCAAAGTTATTCTCAAGGTGGGTATTAATGAGTTGACATCAGCCTCTGGAAACAACAGAACACAAACTGGTTAAAAGATTTATAAGTCACCCCAACAACAGGGTGGAAACCTGACTCAGGGTCATTGTTTTGTGTCATGAGAGGAGACTCGTCTCGGCAAAGTCGTGCGGTCAGGACAAGGGGTTGGTTCACTATTAGAGATGGAGAGGCCTACTCATGCCCCTGAGATTCATGTTGAAGTCTTGATTGTAAAGCTGAGTCTGCCTCTCCATCGTGGCAGTAATTCAAAGTTGAAAACGAGAGTAAACACTATCTACTTCAAGAAAAATGATCTGTGCCACATGAGGAATTTAGAGATAAAAAGCCCAAATTGTGACTTTCAATCAGTGAGTAAATTTTAAAAGAAAGTAATTTCTGGTTAGAAAATGCCATGATAATATCATTCTTATGTCTTATGATAAAGAATTCTTAGATTATAGCTAAACATTAGTTACCAGTGCTAGATGATACCAAGGGGACTCTATAGGTAAGGGATTTTAAGTCTGACATGGGAAGCTATAATAAAGGGTTGTTGAACTCAGACCATTTCCAGTGAGTGTCAGTGAGTGTCAAGTTTACAAGTCAAATGCCATCTCTCGTCGGATGCCTCAGATTTGGCCCTCTTCTGGAAACGGTACCATCCGATGCCCTTCCACTCGAACAGTGGTTCACTCACCTTATGTTTTGAGGCCAACACGTTTTTATGGATGCCTTTTCATGTCCTGATGAATGCATACCCTTACAATCAGAAAGTTTCTACATGACCCTTTCTTGTCAACCCTTGTCCCCCTACCTCAACTCATAAGGAAACCACTGTTCTTTTTTTTTTCTGCCATAACCTATGTGTGCTTGCTTTGGGGGTCACCCAGTAATGCTTTTCTGTAAGGTGTCTGGTTTGCTTGGCATCATAATTTGAAGATCTCTCCATGAAGTTGGTATTTGAGTCATTCATTCTTTCGTATTGCTGAGTGGCATTTTATTGTAAAACTATAATGCAGGGGCTTTATACTTTTACTCTGACAGACATCAGGGCTGTCCCCAGTATTTGGCGATTATGAATAAGCTGCTATGATTATTTTTATTTAAAATGTTATGTAAACATGTTTTCCTTTCTCTTCAATAAGTACCTAGAATTGGGGTCAGTGTATTTGGTTGTACTGTATCCAGGTTTCCAC